CGAATGTCAACAGCTTGAAGTGTATTTCAAGGTCGTACATGTGTGTCAATAACTGGATACACATTTCAAGGACGTATGCCTATTAGTAGAAGGGGCACGAGTGGCCCATTCGTCTCAGGCGCTGCGATTCTCTGTGCAGTTTTGCGTCCCTTGGGTACGCCAGAAACCTATGATTGTGGGTACTAGGTTCTAAATTATGTTTCTAGGTTTGTCAGCACCATAACCGTGCTCATGGGTTTCACCGAAGTGGTAAACATCTGAGACCTGCATCACTTCGGGCTTTCCTCCCATATCAAGCTGACACGCCGTGATATAACTGGAATAATGTTAAAAGCGGCGTGAAACCAAGCTCACTCACTCACTTTTAATAAATATATATATATTTTTTTAAGGGTTATATCGTTTCCATACACTACAGTGTCACTTATTTCTTATTTCTTTGATTGTATATATCAAGATTGTATAAGAATGTAATAATGGCATTATATCTATTAATATGTATCAAACTTGATTGTCGTGCTCCGACTTAAAAAAAACAAAGTCGATCAGTGTTATACAATATGTGTATGTGACTTGAGGCATCGTTATCCATCTTTATCTTTATGTCAAGAAAATGGATCATGCCCGATCAATCTTCATACTGTTCTGAAGCTTTTTAACTTACATGTATAGCCACGAGACAGTGAAGGAAAGACACTTCAGTAATGAGCATAATGTCCAAACTGTCACGCTAGTCTATCTACAGTATCAATGGGCGTAAGAAAATGAAACAAATGCTTAAGTTTTCGATTCGTTTTTTATCCAAACACCTTTTGTTCTCTAACGTTGCATGTGGATGTCAACACACATAGATAACGCCTTTGATTCTTGATCAACTGCTTAACCAAGAAGAGGGCGGACGTGTTAGGTTTTGTCGCCTTGTCAAATGCACGAAGGGTGGCTACATTATAGGGAGATAAAGGTATTCAACTTCAATAGTATTGCAAGAGTGATTTTCAATAGTGTATAGGTAAAAATAGCTTCCCAAATCACGTTTACCATTGAACATCATTTTAGATGAAATGCTTACTGTAGGCTATAAATAAAATCCGAAGCATATAACATCTGCTACTAGATCGGCGATCTTGTCACGTTGAATAGCGCACAGTGTCCATAATATTAAGCGTTTATAGGCTTCGAGATTCCAAGATTTGCTCAAAGTTAACTTAATAAATATACACCAAAAATCGTTGCTATCTGAGGACAGGTATATGCAGTTATATTGTGCAATTTCACATATATTTCAGCCACAGAAGCCACATGTTGGCCCATGTCTGAGTACGGTCACGTTTCAATTTGTTATTCACATTAAGCTAAATTGGAAAACTGGGTTATGTCCTTGGGTTCTTTGTGATTAAAATTACTTCTAAACTAAAAAGGACTAACATAGAAAAGACCCCATAAGCAGAAGCTTACACACATACTTGACCTTGGCGAACTGTCAAACAAAAGTAAAACTTTACAGGTAAATGTGACGAACAAACCTCTTAAAAATCAATTTTCTATATGTTGCTGTGAGGTATATCTTTCTCACGAGTTTCTATTAAGTATAAACTGGATCTGTCACTTGTAGGAGTACACATACAATATGTAAAATGTAGGTGGCATGTATATGTTAATAAACCCCTGTTAACTACTGTTGACTTAGGCTGGGTTGGTGTATCCCTACTCCTAATGATCCTTGTCAATGGTGTAATATGTACCAAGGAAAAATATCAGAACCAGGCAAAACATGTTTCATAATGAATAGAGACAAGATGCTGCCCTTTGCGAAACATATTTTGTTTCACAAGCTTCTCGTACCCTAAGTCTTCGTTACACTTTAAACCCGACGTTGATACATATTAGTAAAGTGGTGATCAAATAAGCACCGCTTAATCACTTCTTCTGTTTATATTTGATCATAACAGTGAACAAGTCCTTCCCTGCGGACATATATTTACTGTGTAAACAGAGCAGAAAAGTAGATGGAAGGTAAACGATGTTGAACACTATTAGCATTGCTTGGAAAGATACATGGCCGAATTACGTAAAGGTGTTTAGTGGGCGACAAACGGGCTCGTGTTGTTTGAAGCCTATGGGAAAGCATGGACTTAATGGAACCTCGTGAAGGGACAGAAATAATATGTATTACTCGTTCCTGTTTGCTTCAAACCTATGGCCCGCCTGCTTTGTTAGGCGCAAACACGGTCATGAATAGTGAATTGACGAGAAATATAAGTAGCCAAGTGTAGAAGCATCCCAGTCTCCGGTTTAACCTGGGAGTAGACAGTCGATACGGCCATGGTAGGTTGTTTAGTCCGACTTAAACATTTCATAAACCCGCCAGTGTATATATTTATATTTGTATCTCAAAAGAACTGACAGAATGTTAACATTAATTAATATAGACATATAGATATGACTATGTGAGTACGGAGGTCCTGTCTTAGGAAATACTAAGACGTCCACTAACTTTTGTGTTCGTAAATATGTACTTAGTATTGTCATATTTGACCCTCGTGTCTGTACTTTCTTAAATTCACATATGACTTATTTTCTTTTATAATCACCTTATATCCTGCATTCTTCAAAAAACAGTTGAAATATTATACGGGGTTTTTTTCCGTGATATTTAACAAAATCTTAACTCAACTCAAAATGCTGTAGGTATAAAAACCGCATGTAAAACCTGAACTAGATTGTCACGGTAAATGTGTGATAATGGGAGATGGAACTGATCAATGCCATGTCTTGATTATTCTCGTGTCGCCACTGTCCCTACCAGTACCTTGTAACTTTTGGATCACAGTTGTAATAGATGTGAATAACACAGACGTAAAGAAATGTCATGCATGTTGGATATATTAAATGCCATATGTGACAACATAAACAGAACAAAATGTCAACAGGACCAAACGTTGGATATAACAAAGTGCCACGCATGACCAAACGTTGGATATAACAAAGTGCCATGCATAACGAAACGTGGGATTTAACAAAGTGTCATGCCTGTCCAACTGTTGGATATAACAAAGTGTGTCGCATGACCAAACTTTGGATAGAACAAAGTATCATGCATGATCAAATGTTGGATATTACAAAGTGTCATGTGTGGCCAAATGTTGGATATAACAAAATACCACACAAGACAAAACGTTGGATATAACAAAGTGCCACACATGAACAAACGACGGATATAACAAAGCGTGTCGCATGACCAAACTTTGGATATAACAAAGTATCATGCATGACGACATGTTGATATAACAAAGTGCCATGCATGATCAAATGTTGGATATACCAAAATACCACATAGGACAAAACGTTGGATACAGCAAAGTGCCACACATGAACAAACGATGGATATAACAAAGTGTAGTGCATGTCCAAATGTTGGATATAACAAATTGTCACACAGAACAAAAACATTGGATTCAACAAAGCGCCACCATTGATCAAATGTTGGATATAACAGACTGTCATGCATGTCCAAATGTTGGATATAACAAAGTGTCATGTTAGACCAAATGTTGGATAAACAGATGCCATGCTAAACGTTGGATATAACAAAGGGTCATGCATGACGAAATGTTTGACATAACAAAGTGCCACACATGGCCAAATGTTGGATATAACACAATTACAGATATGATGAAATGAATGTAATACATGTACCACATGGCGACAAAATGTCATGTCAAACACAACAAAAAGTTGGATTTAAAAAAATATATCCCCTGACGTAAAATTCTCACACATACGAAATGTTGAATTTAACAAACTGTTGTACATGACCAGGTATGATATAATGACAATCACTCCCACACGTGTAGGTAATACAAATTTAAAATCTTCAATCGTTTCGAAATCTAAAACCTTCCTTACTCTACACACCCCTTTTGAGATTGATAGAAACCATACTTACTGTGCTTGAATGAGTCACAAATTACGAACATTCCCCACCCTCAACTATAAACGTTTGTAAGTGTTCAACCATAGCTTTGTTAAACAATCAGTCTTAAGTCCTGAATATCTGCGAAATGCCCCATTTGCCTTCTAGGGGTACAAATAAGTTATTCATATTAAATTGAAGGTATATGATTACATCCGCATTTAAAGGATCATTAATGACGTCGTACTCTCTTATCGCAATTGCCTTGTTTTTATCCGGAAATCATACAAGGTAATCGGTCGGTAAACACAGTAAAACACGAGAACGTGTGTTTTGAAGCTAGAGTACATAGTGCAAATACTCCCTCATATACACCTGGGATCTTATAATTACTTGAAAGTGTTGGAATGTTTTCTTGGCTCACGTCTACCGTGACCTCGACCTTCAAACGCTACGAATAGGCAGGACACGTTCACAGTTTCGTCTGCCCGGTAAGCGGAAGGTCGGGGGTTGGATCCTAGGTCGCGTCATACGTACTTGTTGTTACCCTGGCTGTCCCTGGGCTTTAAGGGGCTAAAACAAGGACTGGTCGGCTCGCAGTCAGTATACTGTGTTTGAGTGGGGTATTCATGTTAAACTGCGTCATGGTATCTCAGTGGGCTACCACTATAAATTCGGCATACGTCCGAACTAGTACAAGCAGCTACACACACGTGCATACATTTGTTCAGTAACATGATCCGTTATTAATATCCGTATACGTCTATAAATATACTCAAAATACTGGAATAATTAGATATTTGGCTCCATATTGATACGCAAGAAAGTATTGTTTTTTTGTAAACCGGAGAATCTCTGGGATAAATGTCTTTCATTGTTGATCTTGTTTTTCGATATCTTTAGTCCCCTGAATGTTGTATAATATATGTTTCTAAGATGCTGAAACGGTAACGTGGTTGTATTTCAATGTGGATCTAGTGTGTCGATGTCGTTTGTCCCCTGATTGTTGTAATATAGATGTTACTAATGATCTAATAAACCTCTGTCGGTTGCTGTGTACATGGAACGATCATTTGGTGACTTTCAGTGTGGACATGGGGCGTCAGTGGTTCTGCTGGCTTTGCTCAGTCTAGCAGCTGTCCATCAGTGTATCGGTAAGTAAACAGCAAACTTGCCCTAAGTATTAACAAATCTTTGACATAAGATAGCTACACCTGAGAAAATGACATTTGGTTTAATTTTTGTCCATATTCAAATGGTAACCTCTAAACCATGTGTATGTTTGACACAGTGTACCCTTGCGTAATGCTGTTTTAATTTTAGTGCTGCAACACATGCAGATGTTGAAATAAACTAAATTTAATTCTAATTTGAATAAACACACCTGATTACTTTCGTAATGATTTGTAAACGTATTCCTCATTTCTTAAATTTTTCATATCCCGAAAAGGGACGTTATTATCCTTTATCCTTTAAAATGAATATTTCCGGTCATTTATATCACCCAAAGAGCCGACATTCCCTATTACTTATAAATGATGTCAAAGTATAACACTAGTTTCTAGCATTTGTACAATCGAGCCCATCTCGCCACACAGGAGCTACCAGCTTCAAGCGGGTATGTTACTATACCAGTTGGAGCCAGTACCGGCCAAGCGGGGCGACGTTCCTCCCCGGAGACATCGACCCCTACCTCTGCACCCACATCATCTACAGCTTCTACCTGTTCAACTGGGACACCTGGGATCTCCGAGCTGATGAATGGAACGCTGCGTCTTTGTAAGCTTAATTGGACTCTAAGATGGACGCTTTTGAATAACCAATATTTGCTTAACAGAGAAACGTTCGGGTTACGCTCGAGTTGGAGATAATCTATGATAATGAGCTGGAAGTATTTAAGGTCCTTGCGGGACACTTAGGAGCGATTGGATAGCCTAGTAGGTCAAGAGTCCGTTCGTCCAGCAGAAGACCGGTTTCGATTCCCGATATAGATACAATTTGTTAAAAAAAAGCAACAAAATCCATTCCATAATGTAATAATAAAACTGATATACCATGAAATAACGAAATGGATGGGTTCTTTTATACGAAGAAAAAAAATATATTTTTCATTCAATTTCCAAAGAAATCTCGTTGACAATTATATAAAAACAAGTAGTTGATTTGTTTGACCTTAAACTTCATTCCGTTCTAAATGTATACAAAGAAATCATTAAACGTTCATCTTTTCAAATTTGTGACAGGATATCCGGTCTCACTGCGCTGCGCAATTCCAATAAGGAGCTGAAGGTTATGATAGCTGTTGGTGGATTCAACTTCGGGTCCCCTGCGTTTTCCTACATGGCGAATACAACTGCCAGCCGAGCGGCCTTCATTTCCAGCACACTGACCACGCTGTCCAGGTACAGTTTGAACGGCCTTGACCTGGACTGGGAGTACCCTGGGACCAGAGGAGGAACAGCTAAAGACAAGGAAAACTTCGCGTTGCTGTGTCAGGTAAGGTATTACCATGCCATGTTCCTTCATCTGATTGTATTTTACAAAGGGGTTCCTGGTTAATGATATAGGTCCCCAGGGGCTTGTGCTGGTCGTCGGAGCTGACTTAATGGATCGTGTGGTCAGGCTTTGTGAATTGGATGGCAGTGCGTCATCGTGCCCCGACGGCGTGGATCGTTGCCCATAATATAAATCACTGGTTTGTCTGGTCCAGACCGCTTCCACATAACGGAAATATTGAGCGTCGCGTGAAAAAAAGCAAAGAAAACAAACAAATTGTCAATGGATTCTATCAGTCTGATACCAAATCTCTGCTTTCTATTAACCTTTTGTTCTTATATAATTATGTCTTTTCTCAGAGCTATACATCCCCTTAAAATAAATAGCTGTACAGTCTCTAGTCTTATAGCATATCCCTACATACCTATACATTCCATGCTCTAGCTGTACACTTCTTCACTTTTCTTTGGCTATATATTTCCTGTGGTTGTTAACTCCCTAGTCTTACACAGACACCCTGTTCTTATATGTATATAGGACCAATATCGTTATATAAGCTCCAATCTCTTACAGGTTCCGACCCGTGACGATCCGGGGTAGAATAAGTCTTCAGCAACCCATGTTTGCCGTAAAAGGCGACTAACGGAATCGGGTGGTCAGGCTCACTGACTTGGTTGATGCATGTCATCGGTCCAAATTGCGTGGATCGATGCACATGATATTAATCACTGGATTGTCTGGTCCATACTCGATTATTTACAGACCGCCGTCATATAGCTGGAATATTGCAGCGTTAAACAACAAACCAACCAACCAACCGATCTTACAGGTTCCTTATCACTTGGTATCCATGGCAAAGCCAAGATGTGCAATATCATTTCTACTTCCCCAGGAGCTGAAACGTGCCTTTGAGCCCTATGGTTACCTGCTGACAGCAGCCGTTCCTGCGGGATACCAAAACATATATGCCGGCTACAGTACCGAGGCTGCACAGTAAGCAGGCATTTTGCAATTAAAGTAAAGCCTTAAACATAATATTAATTGGTCGGAATCACAGATACTTCCGTTCTATGTTAATAATGCCGTTGTAGAGTCAATGAAAGAGCCCCTGGCTTATAAAACGTCCTTAACAAAAAATTTAAAATGAAAAAAAAAATCATGAAATCTGGACCGCCTCCGTGGTCTAGTGGTAGAATGATTTTTACCAAAAACGTTACAAGGCTGAAAACAGACGCCGAAACACTGCAAAGACAAGGTCCAAAACACAACTTCACTGTATAATACCCGTATACATCAACTTCGAATAACCTTTTATTGTTTGTTCCATTTTTAATCACCATCAAACTTTATTTTGCCTGGCAGTTAGACTATATTTGGGCATTATTAGTTGTAAAGGTAATACAACAGACCCATGGTTATACTTGCAGGTATTTAGATTTCGTGAACGTCATGGGCTACGACTACTACGGTCCCTGGGATGCTACAACGGGACATAACGCACCGTTGTATTCTCGGGAGGACGACCTCGATAAGCGTTTTACTTTGGTTCGTACCCACAACTTGGAACAAACAATGCTTCGCAATAATGATGTCATTGTCCACAACTAACATGAATATATACATGACACTGGTGGCTGTAGAGTGTTCTATGTCAAATATTATACGCGCCTCTTAAATACCAGTAATGTTGCATTATTTCTGTATTGAATCGATCTCTATCTCCGGCAATTGACTACATGACTACGCTGCCATCGCGCCTGTGTGTGGCGACACAATGATATATACAACACGTCAAATGAGAGGCCCCGTGGTTTAACTACAGTTAATCAGAACATGTAAAACATATATAAATGTCCAAAAAGTCGCAATTTAATCACCGATCGGCGGTAACAAAAGTTACTGTTGTGTGAATAGCGATTGTCTGATATAATAGATATAAGAGTTTATGCGGATATGACTGTTCAATAATTCCTATATTCCTCTCTCCAGGTCCAGTCGATTTGCGTCCCTTAGGCGGATCAGAAATTTATGATCCCTGGTTCGAATCCAGGTTCGCCTGTGGTTATGACTGTCAGTGCCATATGGTTACTCATGGGTTTCTGTAAACACCTGCATCACTTCGGAATTTCCTCCCACATCAATCTGACACTCCATAATATAACTGAAATACTGTTCAAAGTGGCCTTAAAACAAAGTCACTAATTCATTCATATCCTTATATCATTTATTGGGGTTTTTTTCAGACCGAAACCCTTCGTATCTACAACCAAGAACTTGGGATTCCAAAGTCAAAGATAATTGTTGGAATGCCGACGTACGGACATACATGGACTCTGACAAACCCCTCCCAGACCGGTCCTAGATCCCCCGGCACCCCCGGGCCAGCGACAACTTACGTGAAAACCCCAGGGGTCATTGCGTACTTTGAGGTAGGTTACTAGTTTCATCAATCTCATTCAAATCAGATCTTAGTCGCTACCACTAACAAACATCTGAGGATATCCCATCAACGGGTCATGTCAGAACGATTTTTCATCTGGCCAATCAGAGCGTAGCTACCCAGCAAGTGACAATCGGAATGTGTGTTCTAATTATGCAATTTCGAAAAGGTTGACAACGCGGTATTCGAAAGACAGTTACGGGGTGTACGAGTGATTCCGTCAAAATCACCGTCTTTCTCACGCTTTAATGGAATAAACAGTTTGAAACGAAAGTGACATTCCATAGCCCTTCGGACGTAATGTCATAAAATTTCGACCATCTATCAGAGATTCCAGAATTTTGTTTTCAAATTTGGAATCGATATTTTTTTCAAAGCGTAATCTAGAATGGAAGTCACCAGTTTGAAAGCTGCTTTCTCATTGGCTAATGTCGACGACTTGTCAGTTAATTCGTTGGTCGGTCAAATTTCGCGAAAGGTCATTCTGACGTGACCTGTAATGGGATGTCCTCAGATCTATGTGTACCGCTAGCAAGCAATAAGATCTGATGATTTTAATGAGATTGCTAGTTTCGAATTCTTGTGCAAGGATTATTGCGCGAAGCAAGTCGGGATATGTGTAAACTAGATAACAAACACAGGAGTGTCTCGCAAACATCAAACTAAATAATTTTTAACTCTGTTCATTTCAGGTGTGCAACAATAGCTCCTTTCAGCGGGTGTTTGATGACGTCGCCCTCGTTCCATACGCTGTGTTTGGCTCCATGTGGGTTTCTTACGATGACGTTGTAAGCATCGCCATCAAGGTGGGTCACATAACCTCGTACACTACTCCTCAAAATAACATGTGCGTGTAAATTTCAATCAAAGTCGCGATCGAGGGGAAGTTTGTTTTGATCATTAGTGTATTTGCAGTTTTCTCAAACAGTAAACTGTTGATCGTTTCATGATCACTTCTGGAACACAGAAATACCTTTGTATGTTTTTACCTATAGCTGTCACATTAGTTGTCAATGAACAGTGGGTTGTCACAGTAGGTGATCCTGTATACTGCACACAGATTACATGTCAGGTGAAGTTAAGCAACGTTTTTCGCGGACAGTAGTTGGATGGGTGGACCCATCGTGTTCGGCAGCTTAACACCTGAGAGTATCATTGCCCCATACTAAAACATGTGCTGCACATGCCTCTGTTCATCCAGCAGTATATGGGTACCCGATAGGATGAGATTGTCATGCGACTGTTAACCTAGCGCAATATAAGGGAGAATCGACTGTATACTGCCCAGAGAGTTGACAATGAAATTCGAGTGCCACTGAGCATGCCATGGTAATAATGGTTCGCTTTTAGACTGATATCCAGCATTGAAAAGCACAATTCAAAACATTATGATTATTGCCCTTTTAACACCTTTCACAATAATTTCAGACATCTCTTTTTTCATTTTTTATTTCAATAGTACGGTCAAATGAAGAATCGTTTAGATAGTTTACATTGTCTTGCGGTCAGTTTCAATCAGATTTGTATCTGACCCAGCTCATCAGCTGTTGGTGTTAACTCTGAAGCACAAGTAATTCAACCTATATACTGACGGAACTGTCCTATCATCAGAAGACTGACAATTGATTAATGATCCAGGCCTCCGCAATTTTCTTCTTTGATCCTATGGACTTGCTGCCTGCCTCAAATAACGACTTTATATAAAGGAGACTGGACAGTGTAGGTCCACTATCCTGTGCTTGTAAACACTGAAACATTGGCCACACTGGTTGTCCCTTATAAACACGGCTTGTATGGCAGTCGGCTCATCTCATCAGACCGCCTCCGTGGTCTGGTGGTAAAGAGTCCGCCCGGAGAGCACTTGCATGCACGTCGCTATATAAGTGCAATAATCTCGGACGCGACGTTAAACCCCATTTCACCTCACCTCACCTCATCTCATCCCCAAGGGTCCTCTCGGCCAGCATTGCGAGGAATCCATTTTGGATTCTCTAGTTCACGTGACTATCACATCACACAGCACAATCTGACGGCATTGTATACCTAACTTCCTAGGGCAGGACATGCTTACCCTTTTTCGCGAACGCCTGGTGTCATATCCATACATTGATATCACTGATTTTCAGTGATCCATTTAAATACTTTTCACCTTTTACGCCCAGTGGAATCTGAATATTATCTGGCGTTAACGTTTAATATTTCATATGCTTTTGTCAACATCGGACATCATGTTATCCGAACTTCAAGCGGTGGATCTGGTGTTACACGATTACATTGACATCGCTCAAAATCTCTACTCCATAGCTTCCCGAGATATTATTTATCTGACGGATTAAACCAAATGGATCCGAATACTCAGAGATTGTAAGTGTACCTGATTCTCATACATGTAGGGCTCAAAAGTTTTACATACAGAATTATTTACGATATTTATTATGTTGGCATAACATGTATAGTACAACGCTATTCCAGGTTACTAGGTGGTCGTCGTACGAGACGTTAGCTATGTGTTAATGTATACCTGCTACAACCATCAAACCATCAATAGATACATATATCTGTATATAGAAAAAAACACAATACTAAATAGCAAAAAATACCGCAAAACGACCGTCTGTAAGGCCACAACCAATTGATTATTTGCTATTCAAAATTGCTGCTTTGTTTGTGATAAAAGTAATTTTTAAAGTTATTTTGGGATTAAGTCTTGCGAGCAGATTCTTAAACTCAATAATACAAATAATGCAATGCCAGGGCGACGCTTTGTTCAGTAGACTATGGACAAGAACTATCAGACATACCCATCGTCCGGGAGAAATGAATTTATAACAATAAATTTTTAAGTATTTTGTTATGAGACATATGTCATAAATAAAACTGATACAAAAATAAACCGTCGCTAGATGATTACTTTGAAGGGGCGGTCGGGTAGCCTTGTGGCCTTAAAGCGTTCGCTCGTCACGCCGAAGAAGCGGGTTCGATTCCCGACATGGGTACAATGTGTGAAGCCCATTTCTGGTATCCCCAGGTATTTTGGCCCCACTCAGCCCCTTTCTTTACTTTATCGTGATACAAAATGTAGATAATGTTTATTGGCATGTGGAAGTATAACACCATGTCTGGGTAAACATCAATCCAGTGACATGTTGTTTGTGAGCGAACACTTTGAACTGCCGGCAGCTTATTATTATTATTTATTTTAATTTTAATTTTATTTTATTTTATTTTTTTATTGTTATTATTATTATTGTTGTTGTTGATGATGATGATGATGTTAAACAGCGGATTGTCTGGTCCATACTCGATTACTTCCAGACCGCCGACATACAGCTGGAATAATGCTGAGTGCGGCGTTCAATAACAAGCAAACAAATGTTGTTGCTGTTGATGTAGGTAGATATTTCTAAAGTGAATGTACACTGTTTATTAATGTTCACTGATCACGGCTCTTTGGCTTGCCCCTGCTACAGACTGACATGGTGATAAACCAGGGGTACGGCGGCGTGATGTTCTGGACTCTCGACTTGGATGACTTCAATAATGTCTGTGGGGGAGGCAGATTCACCCTCATCAACTCCGCCAAGAACAGACTTCTGGATGCAACACCAACAGCGTCTACTTCAAGAACTACTTCAACAACAACTCCTACAACCACTACCACTCCAACTACAACGTCTCCAACTACGACCACTGCAACTACTACTACTTCCACTACTACTACTACTACTACTACAGCTACTACTTCAACAAGGACTACAACAACCACTACCACTCCAACTACTACTACAACCACTCCAACTACTACTTCTACAACTCCAACTACTACTTCTACAACTACTACTACCACCACAACCACTACTACAGCCACTCCACCTACTAACTTTTTTACTGGAGAACCCTCGGACGATGTTGAGTGTGATTATTATACAGGTAATTATTGACACACTAATATTTATCCTATCATCGGTACACTTTTATTTTTCACAATTTAATTTCTATACATCCCTATAATTTGATCAAAGCCTAACAAATCAATCATAGCTCAATTATACCACATGAACATCTGTTATCAGTTCTGGCACTGAGTCTCAAAGTCTAACGGAATATATCTTGACGAGGCCATAACGAATTAAGAATTTATTTGTCCGGAGCGCTGCAACCTATTATCAATTATTACTTCTGGAAAGGGGCGGTCGGGGAGCCTAGTGGTTAAAGCGTTCGCTCGTCACGCCGAAGGCCCGGGTTCGATTTCCGACATGGGTACAATGTGTGAAGCCCATTCCTGGTGCCCCCCACCGTGATATTGCTGGAATATTTCTAAAAGCGGCGTAAAACCATACTCACTCACTACTTCTGGTAAGAAAGCATTCATATATAAGTTATGAAGAGAATGTTTTTGACTTAGGCATATTTGATCTGATATTGTAAAGGAATGGGAACATGTGATCAAAGTAAATTTCATTTTATGAATAATTGTTTGAAAAAGAGCAGGACAACACTTTGTCGGCCTTAGTTTTTGCACTCAAAGTATACTATTCAGTGGACATGATAAAAAGAAATGTCCTGTTGTACCACCTCATCCCCAAACACCACCCCCACCCCCTACCCCCACCCGCTACCCCCACCCCACCCCACACCCAAATCGTTTGGCTCTTCCTTTCGGAGAAAATATTTGTATGTCTTCATCCAATGACAGAGAAAAACTCTCTCTAACAACAATACAGGCAACCTTCTGCTCCCCTAGTAGTACGTCCCTAAGACGAGTACACCACCTAGAATACATAATAATGTTAAGATTCAATTCTAATTATGAATAATTCATACGTAAAAACAATAAATACGAAAGCATCGCCAGCCTGTCACTATCGGCAGACATTATCCGACAAACAAGTAATCATTTTGTTGAGGCCAAACTGGATAAAGTCTCTCATCATAATTATTAAAACTGCTTTTTTTCTGTTGTAGATCCCTCTCATGCATACAACAGGTGGTGGTACTATGCGAACCCTGATGACTGTGGACAGTACCGTTTCTGTTTTGGAGAGGTTCTCTGCCTTGCTTTTATGAACTGTCCGCCCGGCACTCTGTGGGACCACATAGCTCTCACCTGCGAACACGCCGACAAGGTCACATGTGCGTGTGCTGAACGAAACGACTAGAGCGCTTGTAATTTATTACCCTTTAACTTTAAACAAATATAAATTTATAGAAAACACTTACTATACATAATAACAACCTGTGAAATACAAAGGACATGATTATTTTGAAACCAAATTTCATAAATAAGTCTAGCATACATGTACACAAATAAAATTGTTATGGTAACTGAAAAAATGTCAAATTTCCGCAAGACAATAACACCTTATGTTGCAATTAGTCCCATCTGAAGCATATCCATTTATCAAACAGCGCGTGTACCAGAATTCTTGAAAACGTATACCAAACACTGTTTTCACATGGTATGTTCATGTTTAATTCTTTAAAGAGGGGCTACGCTTTGGTCATTGGGCAGACCCAGGATGACTGATTCAAGACGTTAAATACCACTTTGTTTTTCCTTTGCTGATTTGAATATCAACCACGCAAGCAGTTAAATACACAGTCAACGCCACAGTGTCTGCTGTGGCACGAACAACAGCGCCAAGACCTAGATATGGAAGGAGGCCTTGAGGCATAACCCCTCTTTAAAACTAGGTATGTGAGTAGGCCCCGGGCCCATGATACAAGAAATAAATTCGTAAATGTAAAACGTGTTTTCTCGTAAGAATAATATATAGTTACTTTCAGACATTTTATATGTTTATTTTATAATATTTTGTATTTTTATGTGATCATCTTTGCAATATCATTTATGGCATAATGATCAGGTGTGTATGTTTTTTGTTTCGATGAATGCCTTACAGACTGGAAGTTTGGGGGCATTCTTCTAAGGCACCGCAATTGGTTGTACATTGGTACGTCCCCTGGTATGTCAGGATGAGCATGAGTTTGAAGATAAGCCCTGATTTGAGATTGTTTTTCAGCACCATGCCTATGTTCGTTGGTTTGGCGCGTTGGTAAATGTCTAAGGCCTGCATCACTTCGGTTTTGTCCAGCATCAAGTTGACATACCGTGATAGAACAGAAATACAGTTCAAAGAAGCGATAAATCCAACTCACTCACACAACAGGTAATCTCCATTGGGGTGCAGATGTCATCGGCCTAATCGGCCTAGAAAGATTTTTGTGTTTCCTCGGATGCTGAGCAGTTAGATTCCGAGTTTCACATGACGACGTCACTTGTTTGTGCCCTGCCTGACGCTCGGAATTATGGGGATAAAACAAGGACTGGTCGGCTCGGCATCAGTATGATAAGTCTGAATGGGGTATGGCTAGCACTATCTGCCTGACTAGTACGAGCAGCAACACCACACACACACGCACGCACGCACGCATACACGAAATAGCGTGAAATAACGTTGAACGCGACTGGGATTCACAGTATGAAGCTCTTTCGTTGTATTCCCTATACTTAATTAATTGTTAAAGGAGGTGTCAGATCATATTCTCCAACTCTAAAGCTAGAGATGAGATTTCAGGTAAAAGCGCCCTTTATGTGAGTAAATGAGTGAGTATGTCTTTACAACACTTTAGCAATATCACGGCGTGACGAGCGACCACTTACAGCCGCTATACTACCCAACGCCTTTAAGTTACGTGATGTGTGTGAAACAGTCTGGAGTAACGGTTCAGGGCATATTTATAGACGTTTCAAACAGTCATTTAACAGGGTCCGGATTAACACTGTTTCACTGTATATACTGTCTGGTGACAATTATGGACCAGAGTTAATCGAATTCGTAATCTGATTCATTCCCTACATTAACATGCGTCATCCTCCGGAAATATATGGCACACAGTCATTGTATTATCTCACGATTTCTGTTCTGCTGTCAGTTTGAGTGAGTCATATATCGAAGGATCATTCTTCGCAGCTTATACATCTTCGACGAGACTTCTGCACACAATGCAATTATGACAAATGCATTTTCTTTAAGAGAAACGCATTATGCCAAGCAGACGCTGTGTTTTTTTTTGCACCAGTCGTTTTAACAGTTCTTATCAAAGATTTCACACTTGTGCCAAAAATGATAGCTTAGTTTGGAGACGGTATAATGAGTGAGTGAGTGAGTTGGGTTTAACGCCGCTTTTAACAGTATTTCAGTTATATCACGGCGTGTCAGTTTAATGTGGGAGGAAAGCCCGAAGTGATGCAGGTCTCAGACGTTTACCACTTCGGTGAAACCCACGAGCACGGGTATGGTGCTGACAAACCTAGAAACATAATCGGGGCGAACCGGGATTCGAACCCACAATCATAGGTTTCTGGCGTGCCCAAGGGACGCCTTAGACGACTGGGCCACCCTTGCCCCCGGAGACGGTATAAAGCGAAGACAACCTTTGTATGTTTTTGATCAATTCAAACGAATTATTTAACGAATTTATTATACAAAGATAATAATATGTCCCACAAATAACTCAACATGAAGGACTTAGTGTCTTGGACTTCAAACATTGTACTTATGTGGGGAATCGAACCCGTACCTTCGGCGATACGAGTGACCTCAACAGGTTTATAACGCCCGTTATAAAGTAAGAAACGCGCACAAAGTGGTGCGGTGAGGTGAGCTGAAAGGAGGTTTAACGTCGCGTTCAAGATTATTGCTCTAATATACTGGCGTGAATGCACGCGTATGTGTGCGTGCGTGCGTGGTTGCTTGTACTAGTCCGGTCTAATGCTGGTTTCATATTGTTAGCCCATGACGCAGTTTAACAGCGATACCCCACTAAGACACAGTATTCTGAGCCGACAAACCCTCTACACAGAGACACCAGTCTGCTGTCATAACCTGTGTTACGAGGTGATTTCCGTATTGAACATGAAGGTTCACTGCGAACGTAGTACGTACAGAACTCAATTATGAAATCGGTAAATGACAACACAAGATCAATGGATAATCAATAAATTATATTAAAAACACACAGTTTTAGGTTTACAATCGAAGCAGGCAATACAATGTGTGAAATATGTGACAGCAGTAATAAGTAACAGGCCATTCAGTTAATGTAAGTGTACTCAGGAATGTCCAGAATTTTGTCACAGTCTATAGTCTTAAAACGTCCCTGTCTACGTATGTGAATCCGAAATTGTGTGCAGGAATTCGGTGTTTTCAGATGGATATCCAATCCGCACTTAGCAAGTATACAAGACACATGTCCGGCCGTATAATGTACATCTTATATATGAACGGCCAGCCTTCTAGAATATGCCTCATCCCGACACTTCTCTAACGATCAAGCCTGCCATGTGTGACAACAACCAGGGGAGGTAACTCGAAATTTCAAACAAGCGCTGCTGCCGACCGCTTTCGACATTTTACCAGCGCTTTAATCAGTCACTGCCACTGACGATCACAACAAAGACACTTACAACAATATCCACGGACACATAACAACTTGCTCAGAACTGTTTTAATGAATTGAGTTTGTTAAAGGTATTAAGACATTTCTTTCACCTGTTTCTTTAAGATACAGACAATTACAGTTATTGACTTGTTCAGTGAAGTAAAGACTTGAGGTTTAATTGACTTCACGTTTCAATTTGAATGTACATTACAATGTTGATTGACTGTACAGTGAAAAGGTCCCATATCGTGTTATCTGTAGTTTGAGACAAGCGAAGACCCGATACTGGTCACGATCATAAAGTAGCATCGTCTCAACGATGCTTGAAGTTTGAGTTATGGTGGTGTTATTTACTGTCTGTTTATGCATGTTCGGCTTTTGAACATGAGACACAATCAGTATTGGTATTCATATCATTTTCAGTTATACATTTCATTCTCGGAAGTGATTTTAACAAATAATTTCTTTATGACTTCGGTGTTATTTGTGGATTATAGTTCGAGGAAGTGTTTAATATATACTGATCATACAAATTTAAAATTGTTATTCTTGGGAAACAAGCACGAATGGTTCTGAAAAGTTTATCGCCGTGTTGACATGCACGAACCTATGCATTGTTAACAAGACCAAGTTATCGCTGCAAGATCAAACAGTATACAATCAATCATTGTATTATATGATAAACTAGGTTTACAAATCAACACAAATTACCGTACATCAATTCCAATGGCAGTACACAATAGAGTAGTAGTACAATATTCAATGACAGTATATAATATCATGGCAGTGGTCAGTATCAAATAAACAAATACAGTGGTGATAGCAGGAGTCGGTGATAATAATAGATATTCACCCAGCGGCGACAGTGGTCAAGCTTCAAAGATGGGCTATGCAGGGAAGCAGGGTTGATGATCGATCCTCACATGAAAGCTGGTTCCGATGTGATGAAATGCGTAAGTGATGTCTAAACACGTTCTTTTCTCCTTATATACAACTTACATGTAACTAGCAACTGGAAAGTTCTACACAGTGCCCTCACCAGTCCAGCAGAACTAGAACAATACATAAGTTTCCATAACATACTATCACCGTCCGCGGTATACCGGACCGGAAATGTTTACACACCAGACAAGCATCTTAATTTAGTAACTTCCTGACGACTGATCACTGTCCAAACTCAATGCAATCAGCGTCTACCGAAGCTCAACAGAAACATTGCAACACAGCTACAATCACTGTTAAACAATAAAAATGCACTGCCATATAAACTTTCTTTGCTTATAAAAGTAGAAATGTTACTAAGTACAGTACATACTAATAAATATTATACATGATAATTTAGAAATATATATACAGAAAATGCAAATCATGCTTGTAGTCAGAACTGATCACATTTAACCAACTCGAGACAATGCATCAGCAATAACGTTGTCGTTGCCTTTGACTCACGCGTTGGTTTTGTTCTTCATTTTATGAAGAAAAGTCAGTGGATTGTGATCAGTGTACACTCGAATACGAAACAAAGTAGTACCAAAGTACACTTTAAATTGTTACAAAGCTAACAATGGAGCAAGAGTTTATTTTTCCATGGTGGAATAATTCCTCTGATGTTTGTCAAATTGTCGTGAATAATTACAAGCCGAATGATCAAAGCCTGATGCATCTTAATGCAACAGGACAGCCCTAGCACCAATGTCACTAGCATCTACTGCCAATCTGAAAGATTTTTTTAAGTCTGGCGCTTGGAGAGAAGGAGAATTCGTGAGAATGGCTTAATTCTCTCAAATGAACAGCCTGAAAATTGCTGTCCCAAACAAATTTCACTTTTCTTGCTCAACAAATAAGTGAGAGGGGATACCATGTGTTAGAAATGTTGACAAAATTGAAAGTAGTTACCAGTCACACCCAGAATTCTCATAAACTCCTTTTTGTTTTGTGGAACTTCAGTGTCAGTTCAGTTTGCAATATTCAGAAGAGTTACAGTATATAAGTATATAACATATCTTATTAACTTAAATATTAATGTTGAGATACCTATTCAGTCAAATCACAATATTTTAGGTTTTATTAAAACGACAATAAAAACACAAGCCATATGGATGTGATTGAGTGAGTTAAAATTGTACCACAATGTTGTAATGGGTAGGTTTCTCGGCAGGATAAAGCCAACGGATAAAAAACTATATCCGTTGGGGTCATATGTCATGTAGGGACTACTTTCAGTGTTTACAAACATGGCGTTGCCCTTGTCATTCGCCGATCAAGTCGGAATTAACCATCTGGAATCTGGAGAAACTATTGGGATAATTGCTATCATTATCAAATGAATAGCCAAATGTACTGAAATTCCGTTTCAATGCTTCTTTTAACGTTATGACAGAACAGTCAAACTCTAAACAAACGTGATGTCTCATAGAC